GTTAGCAAGAACTTCTTCAGTACGAAATCTCTTCTCAGACATACTTAAATTGTAAACAATTTAAAATAAAAATTATTAAATATATCACTATAATATCATGAGAAACTAAATTGAGCACATGAGGTACTACGTTCCCATTTGGGATCATAGTACCTTATGTGTCCAATGTTCCCAATTGGGAACGTCAACACATATATCTCATTTAAAAAATAAGTTTAAGATAAACCTCTAATTTCATAATTTTAAAATATTAAGAAGTAATTGTGAATAAGTAAAAAATAGTTTAATTTAAATAAAACATAATACTTACTTGGAAATAAAATCAGAAAACAGACTAAAAACTTTTTTTAAAAATACAAAATTTTTAAAATGGCTACCAAAGCATGCGATGACAATACAAAAGACCACGTGACTGTATTGCATAGATATACTATTAATAAATATAGATTGGCCAAAACATGTAAAGCTTGTGCAAATATAAAATTTATGTAGCGCTAAATATACACGTTCCCAAATGGGATCATTGGGCGCTAATGAGTTAATTGTGTTGGTCATTTTTTAAAATAATAAACTTAATGCATTATTTGTTATTCATAAGACATCTGATAATAAATATTCAACAACCTGCAACTGGAATCCTTCCTACTAATAAATTTAGAAACCGAGGAATCATCGATAATGAAAACACATAAGAGTGTTATATTGAATAGATTTGAATACATTTGAATAAATTATCCTTATTCATTGGAGTAAAGAAGTATCGCTTATGTTAGAGACTAACAGGCTGAGTTGGGAGTAATGTTATAACCGCAGGAATGATAGAATGGCACTATATTATTTGTTATTTTATTCATAATTTATTTATGCTATATTTATAATCTTTGTGAAGGTTGTAAAATGGTGTCTGTGCTAACTCGGCTATAAATATGATGTGCATTTATGTAGTTATTTGGCTTAATTTACTGTTTCTATTACTGCAGGTATTCAAATAAATGTTCAACAAAGTTTGCATTTGAAGTAGTTGTGTTTATCTTTCTGTTCAGTTTATTCACTCTACCCATAATGAAAAACAATTTTAATCAATTTCAAATCAGTCTAAAATGCGCTAAATGTGAACAAGATCTAATGTGCCTACTATTTTTAAAACTGCTGCTTTAAACTTAAAAATAAAATTATTCCTATCATTTTGACCTGTTGTAAAAATCGTATTAATATTTGAATTTTTAAAACAATAATTTACTTATGTTTCATTGTTTGTTTAAATGTTAAAAATTCAGTCAATCATTCTTTGTTTAGCATCCAGAGACCCAGTTCCCCGAGGTAGGACGTTGTTTTTTTTGCCTAAAATTTTTTGCGCCAAATTAGACGATCAGTTTGGTCGGTTTGTTGAAGTTGTTGTTTCAGTTTGGTTGTCATTGGCCATGTTTCTGCACCATATAACAACACCGAACGTATCACAGATCTATAAAGTCTTGATCGTAGTGATAGTGGGATGTCACGCCGCATCAATATAGAGGCAAGGAGATGCCATTTATTCCAGGCTGCACGTATACGTGCTCGAACGGCAGCTTCAACTGTTCCAGTACAATCCAGAACATCTTTTAGATATTGAAACGATGTGACTTTCTCTACCTTAATGGCTTCAAAAACATTGCTAGTTCGTATTTGTTGTTGTGGATTGATGCAAGCAGAACAAACAAAATCAGACACTTTGGATAAAGTTCCAATTATTTTTGAACAACGTTTGTGATACCACTGGTTACACTGCTGACACTCGATTGAATTGTTGCCTACACCAGCTTTACAAACTGAACAGGACCATTGTCCAGTAGCTGTGGATTAGATGAGTTCACCAGTGTTCATTTCTTTTTTTTGCTGATGTTGACTTTGAATCCATAATCGGCGAGTCTGGTGTTTCAATCTTCAAACATCTGTGCCGCATTCCGCTCAGACGAGGCTTTTAAAATGACATCATCAGCATATATTAGATTCCAAATGTCACCAGTGCGTATCGGTTTTGTGATTTCTTCCATCACAATTATAAATAGCAGTGGACTAAAAATCGAGCCTTGGTGAACTCCAACGCCGATGTCAAATGCATCTGTGTTTCCAACCGTTGTGCTGACGAAAGTCTTAGTATTCGTATACATTTCCATCACAAGTCGAACAAGATATTCTGGAATGAGTTGTCGACGTAAACTCCACCTGATTGCTTTACGGGGAACCCGATCAAATGCTTTTTCAAGGTCTACAAAAATGTGTGATACTTATTGATGCTTTGCGAGGTTGTTGTGGATTGATGCAAGCAGGACAAACAAAATCAGATACTTTAGATTGCCTAAGGATGTGAATTTTATCAATTGTTGGTTTCCCCGCTTGGAAACCAAATTGATAATTTCCGATTGTGATGCACGACGTTGATCTTCTTTCTCTCAATGATTTTCTCGACAATTTTCAGGGAGTGTTCTAACAGACGTATACCCCGATATGATGAACAGTTCAATGTCATTGTATAGCGGGACTGTCATGCTATAGTTCCATTCAGTCGTCATTGAGCAATTCAAAGAGCCGCACTATATATATATATATATGCAGTATATATATATATATATATATATATATATATATATATATATATATATATATATATATATGCAGTTTAAAAATATCACAGCATTGCAGTCATTGTTCAATTTGCAATTGAGTTTTTTTATTTTTAGTGTTGAATACTAGTTCGTTATTGTAAAATGTTCAATATTGCTTACTATAATTTATAAGTCGGCTTTTTTAAGACCTTAAAGTTAATTTTACCTAAAAACCTGTACGTTTGTCTTCCTTCAAAGTATTGCCTCTTTATGGACCATTTCGTATAAAAAATGGTTCAAGGCGCTGAGCAACACTGTCCATTTCTCTTTTCCTTTCATTCACAGGGATCGCTATTTTAACTGTAAAGTTTTTTTGCTATACAGCTTTGTTGGAATGGATTTTGTGATGTTTTATAATGAATAACTTTCTAACAGTTCGAAAAAATTTTAAAAGAAAAGTGGAATGAGGCGACAGATTTTGGTTTATTCAAATATTCATTAAAAAATCTAAAATCTAAAGTGACAGTTGGAAGAAAACAGTTTGTCCTTCAGGTTCATTTGTTTTTTTTTTCATCAGGATTTGACACAACAATTTATGTTATTTTTTTTTTTATAAAAAAACTAGTTAAATGAAAAGCGTTTCAGCGAAAGAAGAATTCCATATACTTATAATAGCTGTATTGTTCCTTTTGATGATAAAGAATTTAATTTTAACAAAGTTTTACCTGGGGAGATTCTGTTCGAATTTAAATGTGCATCTAAAGATATAACCGTTAGTAAATGTGTTTACTTTGCGTAAGTTCTCAATGGTGGTCGGCAAGTTAGCTCAGTCGGTAGAAGTGCGTTGTCTCGTGCATTTGTGCGATGGCCTGGTTCGAATACTGTCGATCGAAACTCAAAAACTATCACAATAGGAATACTTTTCAACTTAGTTATTTTCTTTTTATTTATTTTAAATAAAAACCCGAAGCCTATGCATGTTGGGCCACATACGCACAATATAACATAATTGAAAAAAAAATTAATTCGAATAAAAGTTAGAGAAAAAACTAAAGCATATAGTTCTATTTGTCACAAACACAATCAATCAATTATTTATATATAAAAATTAAATTATGTAGTTCTAGCTGTTACATACTTACAAGTTAAATGTTTATAATGTTTAAAAAATGATGCAGACCATATATCATTAGGCAATGTATTTCACAACTTTAAAATCGATATGATCGGACTATTACTAAGTAGTTCAGTTTTACATAACGCTAAGTAATATTAGTTTATATTTCTTAATGATCTAGTTGGGCAATTTAAAAACAAATTAATAAGATTTGAAAAATAAACAGATACTCCATCAACTATAAGTTTGTATGAAAGTATATAAATATTGTTATAACCGTGCTACCGAACGCACTAGATTCTAGCGTATTCTAGAATGTTCTAGTGACTGGAGCATTCTAGAGTATGCTAGAATCGGACCATCGAGAAGAATCTAGAAACGACGCTTGCGAAGAGTATAAAAGCGCACGTCGCAAGATATTCGTGATGAATGAAATTCGTGATTTTGTGATTTTGTGAATAGCGATTCGGTGAATTATTTAAAGCGATATTTGATTTGTTTGTTGACGTTGTCATAGCGATAGATTTTGAAAGATTTAAAAGTTAATTGTTGCGTTAGTGCGAATTTACTGGAAATAAACGATTAGTTGATTTTTTCTGTAAAAGTTTAATAACTAATAATAGTTGATTTCTTCTGTAAATAAAGTTTAATAACTGTTTGGAATATTTTATTCAATCGAGGATTTGAAACTGTCGCATCGTAAATCGGTTACGACAGCGAGTTTTATAACAATATCATATAAATACAGATCTTTAATTGTCATTATCCTTAAATTAACAAAACACGAGTAATATGCTCGTATTTATTTACTCAGTACATGATCCTCACGAAATGATTCTGGGCCAATGTTAAATGCGAATTTGAACTTTTCAATCAATCAATCAATTAGCTTATAAAGCGGTATTTCCGCGATGTTCAACAGCGCTCCTCAATGAATTTTGAAAACAGATGGGTCTTGAGATCCGCTCTGAACTTCGCAAGTGATGGAGAAGTAGTCAGAGAAGTAGGTAGAGAGTTCCAGAGAAAAGGACCAGAAAAAGCAAAAGCAGATTTGGCAAAAGAGTGTTTAACACGAGTTAAGAAAAAGCGAGAAGAAGAAGACGATCGTAAACCGGGTTGTTTATGTTCAATTAATATATCTGATAAATACTTAGGAAATAATTTAGATTGAGACTTATACATGAACGTGCAAATTTTAAAAATTATTCTATATTTTATAGGTAGTCAGTGCAAGAGAACAAGATATGGAGATATATGAGAAAAGAAAGGGGCACGAGCAACTAGACGAGCAGCTGAGTTAAATGCTTTACTTGAAGGATAGAGTATAGAGTCAGGAAGACCATAATAGAGCGAGTTACAATAATCAATCCTAGATAAGACTAACGAAGTAACAAGAAGGAGAAGAGTAGGATCATCAAGAAAAGGCAAAAGTTTTTTTATTCTACGTAGATGAAAGTAAGAGCTTTTAGCAACACTATTAATCTGAGAAGAGAGAGACATAGTAGAATCAAAGATAAAACCTAGACTACGAAACTTATGAGAGACATCAAGAGTTTTAGAATCAGGTAAGATAATAGGAGGAATAGTAATAGAGTGTTTAGATTTATTAAAACAAATTAATTCAAACTTAGAAGGATTAAGTTTAAGAAACATAGAGTCAGACCAAGCGATAATTGAAGAAAGACATAGAGATAAATTATGAAGAACACTATTGAGATTAGATGGAGGAAAAGAAGTATAAATGTAAGAATCATCAGCATATAGTTGACTAGAGAAAGAAAAGTTATTAATAATACGAGGTAGTTTAGAAGTATAGAGTATAAATAGAAGAGGGCCAAGGATAGAACCCTGAGGTACCCCGAAAGTCAGAGTAGAGGAGTTAGAAGTAGAATTATTGAGAACAACAGAAGAAAAACGATTACAGAGATAAGAAGAAAACCAAGATAGACAAGAATCAATAATATTAAAAGAAAGATGCAGCAGTCTCAAGAGAATAGTATGGTCAACAGTATCAAAAGCAGAGGAAAAGTCAAGAGCAAGAAGAAGAGTAAGATTACTATTGTCACTAGAGAGAAGGATATCATTGTGTATTTTAAGTAAAGAAGTTTCAGTACTGTGAACAGGTCTGAAACCAGATTGAGATACAGGTAGCAAGGAGTTAAAGTCTAAATAGGATGACAGTTGATTAAAAACTACTTTTTCTATTATTTTAGAGATGAAAGTAATATTAGTTACCGGTCTATAATTAGATAAAGAGGTAGGATCTAATGATGAGTTTTTAAGAATAGGGATAACAATAGAATTCTTATAAGAAGTAGGAAATTTAGAGGTGGAAAGAGATAAATTAACTAATTTGAGAATGATTGGATAGAATATTGAAGAAAATTCTTCAAGTAAATTAGAAGGAAGTAGATCTCTAGAGAACAGGTTGTAGACGACATAGAATTAATAATTTTAGTGCAGTTCTAAAAGATTTATTGGAATAAATACAGAAAAATATTCAGTAGTAAGTTTAATAAAGTTATGAGAAGAAAAATTAAAATTAGATGTTCTTAAAGAAGTAATTTTATTTACAAAAAAGTCATGAAACTGTTGAACAGAAAAAGATGAGTGAGAGGATTTTTTATGTAGAAGTTTAGATAGAACAGACCACCTATTTTTAGATGTTGAAGCAGATGTTATAGAATTTCTAAGAAAAGTAGAGTGTTTAGAGAATAGTAGATATTTATAATTAATCAATTCAGATTCATAGATAGAATAAAGAGAGTTAGATGGATTTAACCTATAGGCTTTCTACAGTCTTCTAACACTTTTCTTGGCTACTACACAAGCATAATCAAACCAAGGAGCCTTACGAGAATAGAGCCTATAAGTAAAAGATTTAAGAGGAATAAGCTTATCAAGAATAGAAGTAATGTAGATATTAAAAGCATAGACAAAATCATCAACATCAGAAAATAAGGTAGTATCAAAAATAGTTTCAGCAAGAGATTGAAGAAAAATATCTTTATTAAGAGAAGACCAGCATCTTTTAGAAATAGACATAGATGAATTTGAAGGAAGAAAATCTAATGAAAAAACAGATTCAATAAGAAGGTGATCAGAATAAGGAACAGAGCTAGCAGAGATATTAATAGGCTTAGAAAAAGAAAAAGCTATAATAAAATCAATAGTGTTACCAGAAAAGAACAATATTGAGTTAAGTTAAAAAGAGACAAAATATCATTAAATCTACGAATGTAAGAACATGATAAATTATTGAAGTGCAAGTTGAAATCACCAGAGATGTAGAAAGGAATAGAAAAAGAATAGAGAGATTCAGCGAGTGAATAGAATTCATCTAAAAATAAAGTAAGAGAAGAAGGAGGGCGATAGATTACAGCAATATAAAAAGATAGAGAAGAAGACTTAAGAGATATAGCAAGACATTCAAAAAAAGAAAAATTAAAGGATGTATTATGGAAGCAGTAAATAGAGATTTATAAAATAGACAGATACCCCCATAAGAAGAATGAGAAGATGATAGAAGATTTTTTGGAGGTCTAGAGAGTTCAAGGAAGCTGTAACCATCAGGAGTAGCAAGATTAAGAGAGGGAGACAAACAACATATCAAATACGGATATATCAAAGAAAAATAAAACATTTTTGTCACTTGATTGGGAATATTACTTCTTTTCCTAAAAATTTTGCCTAAATTTTTAGAAATTTTATTTTTGATGTAAAGAATGGGATCATTCCATGACATATCATTTTCCATTACAACTCACATTTAAATTTAATAGTTGAGACACGCTTTATTGGAGTGTTATTTATAAGAACAAAGGTAAATAGTTTATTGCCTACTGTTTTATGCCCGAACAAAATATAATTGGTTTCATTAACATTCAATTGAAGTTTTTTTTTATTTAATTTTTCAGCCAATCTGCGACCTTATGCAGTTCTTCGTTCACAACCTCATTTAAAACCATAACATCTCTATCTTGATCTAATAGGTTAAAATCATCTGCAATCAATCTTCGTTTAGCGTCCAGAGACCCGGTTTCCCGAGGTAGGACGTTGTTTTCTTTGCCATCAACTTTTTGCGCCAAATTAGACGATCAGTTGTATCCATTTCATTTAAATTTAGAACTTTAATTTTGCGGGATTGTTTGCAACCAGGACTTCTTTGGACGGCCTTTGGGACCTGTGCCAGGTACTTCAACGTCTGCAAGAGAAGTTATGGCATGGTTTCCACTTCGTTTGACATGACCAAACCACCGCAGACGGTGTTGCCGGCATTCGTCCTTTTTATCATCTAAACCAGCACGACGCAGGATTTCGGTCGATTTGATGTTGTCCTTCAGACTAATTCGTTGCATCCATCGGAGAATTTTCATGTCGGTTCGTTGAAGTTGTTGTTCCAGTTTGGTTGCATTGGCCATGTTTCTGCACCATATAATAACACCGGACGGATAACAGATTTATAAAATCTTGATTGAAGTGGTAGTGGGATGTCACGCCGCATCAATATAGAGGCAAGGAGATGCCATTTATTCCAGGCTGCACGTATGCGTGCTCGAACGGCAGCTTCAGCTGTTCCAGTACAATCCAGAACATCCCCTAGATACAATACAATACAATACAATCTTTTATTCACTCCAAAAAAATGAAGGCAGGATGACTGTGATAAAGCTCATAGAGAGCTCATCTAGCACAGCCACCTGAACCCAAATGTACACAAATAACCAGAAATTAAAATTAAATAAAACGTCATCTCTTTTTTTTACAAATTTTCTCTGTCATTAAAAATTTAACAAAAACAATTTTAAATTCTTTTTAAACATAGTAAGTGATGTTCCGTTAAAAGAAAAATCATTTTTTAAAATGTCATTCCAAATCCTTGGTCCTCTAAAGACAACATGAGAATGCAACAGATTTGTTCGCGACTTGTTGCTCATCAGATAATTGACACGTCTAGGGTTGTTGACTACTTTGAAATATTCGTCAAACGTTGGAGGAAGCTTTTTGGACAGTTGCTTGAAGACAAAAATGGCTGTGTAATATTTACTGATCCGATCCAAATTTAAATTATTAGTGGAGAAGAATAATTGATTTGTATGGGTGAATTTTTTAAGGCAGCGTTATCACCCTTACTGCTCTCTTCATCAGAATTTTAATTGAATTTGTTGTTGAAGGATAAGCGCCAGCCTACACACACAACGTTACAATATTTTATGTGAGGTGTGCAGATAGCATTATGAAGCAGATTCAAACATTTTTTTGGAAGGTAGAATTTTATTTTATTAATTACGCCTATTGATTGAGCTAATTTGTTGGAAATGTGCTGAATATGCGCTTTGAAAGTCAATATCTGATCCAAATAAACTCGAAGGAATTTTATTGTTTTACTTTCTAAAATTTCATTTTTATTTATCACGATTTTGTAAGGCTCCTTATAATTTAAACACTGAACAGGTCCAAATATTATCATCTGCGATTTAGTTTTATTTATTGTTAGCCTGTTATCCGAGAACCAAGACATAACATGTGCTAATTCCGTGTTTGTTTTTTGAATGACTTTCTCAGTTAATTTACCATTGCCAAAAATATTGGTGTCATCAGCAAAAGATATTGAAACGATGTCATCGTCCAGTAGCTGTGGATTGGATGGGTTCACCAGTGTTCATTGCATAGGTTTTACTGATATTGACTTTGAATCCATGATCGGCGAGTCTGGTGCTCCAATCCTCAAACATCTGTGCTGCATTCTGCTCAGACGTGGCTGTTAAAACGATATCATCAGCATATATTAGATTCCAAATGTCACCAGTGCGTATCAGTTTTGTGATTTCTTCCATCACAGTTATAAATAACAGTGGACTGAGAATCGAGCCTTGATGAACTCCAACGCCGATGTCAAATCATCACCAAATATAACATTGCAAATAAATAACACTTTTATAAAAGATGATGAAAAGATAGCCAACACGTTTAATGATTACTTTACTAATTTATTTACAAAAAACATACCATCTAATGGAGAATATAGAAAAATACCTGGGTAATTCTAATCCATTCACCATGTTTATAGCAGCAACCGATCTTAGTGAGGTTGAGAAATTGGTTCGTTGCTCGTCTGGTTCAACATCATGGATTACTACTGCATGTCTAACAAAATTTTAAAATCTATAAATCATTCCATAAGTCACGTTCTGACATATTTATTTAACTTGTCTATTGAAGCTGGCACTTTTTTTAACTTGTTTCAAAAAAGGTCGTGTGGTGCCCATTTTCAAGTCTGGTTCTAAACAAGATGTCAAAAACTACCGATCTATTACCATCCTCAATCCAATATGAAAGATTTTGGTGAAGATAGTTGATAATAGACTAACGCTTTTTTAAAATCATTGTAATATTCTTGTGAATGAGCAATTTGGGTTTACAAGGGTTTACAAAGGGTCGTTCCACAGAGATGTGTTTAATGGAAATGACGAAAATTAACTATGTACTAGAAAATAAACAAATTGTGTCTTTAGTCTTTCTTGACTTTGAGAAGGCATTCGATTCGGTTCCGCATGAAATATTGTTGGGGAAATTGGAGTATTATGGTTTGAGAGGTGTTTCGCAGAGATGGTTTGAGAGTTATCTGTCAAAACGTTGTTAATATGTTGCCATTGGTGACTCTATATCCTTGTTTCAACGTGTCCATAGTGGTGTCCCTCAGGGAAGCATACTTGAGCCTAAATTATTTCTATTATACATTAATGACTTGGTTATGGTCTCAAATGTATCATATTTTCGAATCTTTGCTGACGATTCAACTATGTTAACAGCAAGTACAAGGAAAGAGGTTGAAGAAAAAACTAATAATAGTCTAAAACAAGGTCACGAATGGTCTGTTTTGAGCGGACTGAGAATAAATGTCAAAAAAACTAAGTGTATGATATTTACTAGCAATAGTAGAAATGAAAGTATTGAAATAAATTTTATATTAAATAACATTGTTATCGAAAAAGTATCTGTTTTTAAACTCCTGGGTGTATTTATTGATAGTCTTTTAAATTACAAAGGCCATATTAACTATTTATTGGTCAAAATGAATAGAAAAATTGGAATCATTAACAAAATTAAATACATGTTACCAATTCAAGTTCTACATCTTCTATATTATACATTAATATTTCCACGATTTATACTATTGCAACCTGATCTGGGTAAATACATATAAAACTTATTTATTAAAAATTTTCAATGCTCAAAAAAAATTATTACGATACATTTGATTAGATAGCCACTCGTCTAAAAATGTTTTTAATAAAATGAAAATTTTATTTATCTTCGAAATAAACAATTTTGAATCATGTCGCCTTTTTTTGTTTTGTTTTTTTAACTGTTATAAAACTCGTACATTTCGTAATAACATTTTACTTTTATACAGGGAGAAACAGATGTGGTATTGATAAATAACTCGCCATTAGAAAAATTTCATGTTCTTCTTATACCCGCAATTACTCAATGCACAAATCAAGTGAGAACTTTGATTGTTTACATTATTTTTGATGTGTTTTCAAAGATTGGAATTTGTACCAACGCAGATAATAGTCTGATTGAGTAGTTTTACTGTTTTTTCCAATATGCTTTTACTTTTTTTTTATATATATTCAAGACTAAAATTCAATTGCTGAAATGATATAGTTTACTTCTGTCTTAATTTAGTTTGCTATTTAAAAAATTAATATGTTATGGCGCAGGAGATCAAACCTTGGTTTATACTAGGATTCTGCTTGTGGATAATTTAATGCTCTTACTCTAATCATCTCTGTCACGTGCAACGCCTGGTTTCAGGACCTTCGTGATCGTGCGTTGTCTGATATTCAATTTCGTAAAAGGTTGTAACACAATCTTTTTTTCCAAGCTTACCCGTGCTATTGTCTTTTTCTTCCCATTCATTGCACTGCTTTAGTAAAGTGCTTCGCAATGTACTGCAATAAAGGGCGCTTACAAACACACCAATAATTATAATAATCAATCAATCTTCGTTTAGCGTCCATAGACCCAGTTTCCCGAGGTAGGACGTTGTTTTCTTTGCCATCAATTTTTTGCGCCAAATTAGACGATCAGTTGTATCCTTTTCATATAAATTTACAGCTTTCATGTCTTGCTCGATTGTTTGCGACCAGGACTTTTTTGGACGGCCTTTGGGACCTGTGCCAGGTACTTCAACATCTGCAAGAGAAGTTATGGCACTGTTACCACTTTGTTTGACATGACCAAACCACCGCAGACAGTGTTGCCGGCATTCGTTTTTTATATATATCGTTTTTATGGTTGAAAAATGGCGGCAAAAATTATTAGTACCGATAAAATTGAAAATTTAAAGAGAACTGTTGTTCTTAATGAAGTATTGTTTTTCATAATTAATAAAATAAATGTCTTAGAAAAAACTAAAATAATTAGTTTATGTTTGGATTTTTTCGAAGCGAGTTTTATATTGGTAGCAAAAGAATTGCTTTTTGGAGATGCCTCGAAAATAGGAGAACTCAAAGAAAAGAAAAACAAAAAAGCGCTGGGTTCGAAGCTCGACGCGGCAAAAGAAATGGACGACATCGTCACACTTCTTATAAGCATAAAGGAAAAGAATAATTTAGAGAAACTCCCAATTTATGCTGCTTCCACTTTAAACTTTTCTCTAGGAAAAAACAGTGTGGATGCAGAAAAGCTCTCTGACGTGAATATTCGTGAAGAAGTCGGTCATGACATAAATCTGTTAAATTTCTTGTCACGTAGATCGTTTAATTAATTGATATAATATT